ATCTAAGTTGATCTTTGTCAGGGAAAATACAGGCCTACGACATGACAACACACTATAACCTGTTTGCAGTTAAATATTTAATTTTCAGACCATCTTTTGTGGTTACTTTAGGTCTCTGAGTCTGCAAGACTGCCATGCAGGCCTCCCCTGAGCTTGTCAGGTTAGCATGTGGCCCCTTTTGTCCACACTGTACATGCTTAAAAATGCAGTAAGCAACACTGAAAATCTTACCTATACCCCATGAGAAGCTACATACATAGGTCTCCCAGAGACATTGCAGGGCCATTTTAAACTGTCACAGAGAATTGGAAGCCCAGCACGCAAGGAATCATTTTCAAGGTCCCAGGTCTGTGGTGATTTTGCTCAGGAATATGGACCCAGGTACCCAATTAGTCCGAATAAGACTAGAATTATATGTGCGAGAGTCATGGAGAATGGCATGAATCACTAACTGTTGGTATGTATTTTCCTCCAAGCAGCTTTTTCTCCAAGTTCAAGGCATCAAAGGCATCATCAGATATTGATATAGAGGTAAATATGAGGAGGACAAAGTACTGTGGCGGGACAAAGCACGGGAAATGTAGAGTTCATGTCTCCCCATCTGTTTTCTAGGAATGTGGATTTTGAAGAAAGCGGCCTCTTTGGCTGAAAAATATTTATGGCAACAAGAAAAACAAACGGAAGTCAGAGGAGCAGGAATTGTTCCAAAAAAGGTAAATAATTGGGAACACTTAGAATTCTTATCTAAAATGAGGAAATAATGAATAGTTTAATCGTTCCTTTCAAGAGTCAAAGCCTTGACCTTCTTCTTTTTCTTCTTACCCTAGGAAGCGGAGTAAATCATCCCCTTCATTAACACACATTGACTCAGAGTCTGCTGCAGACACAGGAGGGGAATGTTCTACCTAAAATCTCAGAAATGAACCCCACCTTAAGTATTATTAATTAAGGCTTATTAATAAAGCATCCCGGTGCGTGAAATTCGTGCATGACGGCCGGGGAGGGGGGGGGTGTCCCTCAGCCCGGCATGCACCCTCTCCAATCTGGGACACCTTGGGGGATGTCGGACATCCCTCTCTCCATCCGGGACCAGTGGCTCATAACCACTTGCCTGCCTGCCTGCCTGATTGCCCCTAAGTGCTTCTGCCTGCCAGCCTGATCGCCACCTAACCACTCCCCTTCAAGCCCAATTGATGCCTAACTACTGCCCTGCTGGCCTGATCAGCCCCAGCTGTCCTCCCCTGCTGGCCCAATTGCCCCCAGATCCCGTCCTCTACCGCGACCCGCCTCCTCCACTGAGACTCGCCTCCTTCACATGAGGTGGCAGAGATGGTGATACTGGCCTCCTCTGCGCCATGCGGAGCCATGGGACCCCTAGGCCTCAATACATGGAGCGGCCACTGGACACTGCCTCCGCTGTGCAGGTGGCAATCTTGTGATGGCCACCTTATGACGATATCATGTGCAAGGAAGTGAGGACCACCTAGGCCAGGGGTGGGCAACCCCTGGCACGCGTGCCAAACCTGGCACGCCCCTAACTTTTGCTGGCACGGGAAACCCTCTCTTATAATCTTCCATTTACAATTTCTTTTTTTTTTAATTAAATCTTTATTGTTCAGATTATTACATTTGTTCCTCTTTTTTCCCCCCATAACTCCCCTCCTCCCAGTTCCCGTCCCACCCTCCGCCCTCACTCCCCACTCATTGTCCTCATCCATAGGTGCACGATTTTTGTCCAGTCTCTTC